ACAGTTGGGGTTCAACTCAAAGCACATGTATCCAGTCCAAGCACTTAATGTCACTCCCTTTAGGTAAGGCAGCCATCACCCTGGAGGCTTTACCTCACAAGTGGTACTAAGGGCTCTTCTCATGCTCTTTCAACAGCAGGGACAGGACACTGGCAGGAAATCTAGAGACTAGGCCACCTCAATAGTAGATGCCTCTTATGGCCACAGGCCAACATGGATGGAGGTGACACTTCCTGGCCTGGGGTCAAGCTGAGATAAAGGGCAAGCTCAGCTGAGGGGCCAAAATGGAGAGCCTGTCCCTGCCCTAGGCCTGGGTGTGGAATCTTTCCTCAGTCAGAAGCTCCAAAAACTTGATTGCAGATATAATCAAATGGTAGAAAGGCTGGCTCCCAAAGCCTGAGAGGCCTGTAGTGGTAACTCTTCCTCAAGGCTCTTCTGAAGAAGCCAGAGTGAACTCAAAGGGCTGAAAGCAAAGACTGAAATCCCAGTAGGAGTTCTGAAAGAAGCACTACATAACCCCCACCCCTACCTCCATTGTTCCTCATATGCAGAGAGCCATAGAGCTCCAAGTGGCACACTCCCCATGCTCTGAGGCTGGGATACACAGAAATGCCCTGGGCTAGGCAGACAGTGGAGGCAGGTGTAGGAGGTAAGACCCACAAGATTCTCCTTCTCTCCCACCAAACTCTGTCTGGCCAAGTAGCCCCTCAGCCCCTCTACTTCAAGCCTCCTCAAACCACTCTCTTCCACTCTCCTAGAAGAGAACAAAGACTTAGCAGCCTTGCACGAAGCTTAAGATAGAACTCTGTGTCTACATACTCCTAGAGCCCCCAGGATTTCATTCAGCTGCTATGACAAGGGACAATGGTTCCCCACACAGCCACTTTCCCTCAGCTTCCTGGGAAGACCAATCACATGAAATACCATGTCAAGACAGGCTCTAGGACCTGTACACTTTCATGGGCTCTGCCCCTACCACATGGAGATCACCAGCCCTGGCCACAAGATGGTGTCAGCCCTTGATCAGTGGCTGCCTCAACCCAATGCCTGTCCCTTTCCTTACCAATCAGATGGTTTCAGAGGCAGGCTGTCCTCTGGCCACAGTCAGCATCCATTGGTCCATCTGTGAAGCCTCCAATCAGAGATAAGACCTTGGGGAATCATCAGCACTTGACGCCAGCAGTGACCTCCTAGTGCTCCTAGTCCCAAGCCTGTGGGGTCCCTTAATCCACACCCAGCTGGGAGCCCCCCAGTCAGAGAGCTTCTCCACACTCCCTGACACCAACAGGAGAGGCTGGCAGTGGCCCAGAGGAGCTCATGCCCACAGCTGCAGCAAGCTCAAGACCCTGGCTCAGAGTGGCACCTGCCCACTGGAGAAGCTGCTGGGCCTGCTGGCTGGATGTGTGACCTTGTCACTGTGGGCCTTCTACACCTCAGGCTATAAGCAGGTAAGGGCTGAATGCTGTGCTGCCTGGTTGTGGGAGCTGCTTGTCTGCCCAGACCTAGGAGCCAGCCCCTCCCAAGCTCCCTGAGGAGCCCTCGCTTACATGGAGCATGCATCACTCAGGGCTTTGCGTCTGGGGACTCAAAGCTGCCAGCTCACTGCCCCCATGCAGCTGCCTCCTGGTCTTGGTCACAGTCATGGCCAGACTACCTCACTAGATGGCAAACCAAGGAGAAACCTGGGAAACAAAAGAGATTCTTGGGGTGGGACAGGTTGGAGAGGAACCCATTACTTCTTCTCCAGCTCTGTCTGAACTTGGACTCTAAGGGGGGCCATGGTTGGGGAAGTGAAAGAAGTCAAGGACCCTTGGGTGGCAAGTCATTAGCTCCTTTGCAAGAGACCGGGATTTCAGCCTGCTACCAGGTACAACAGAGCCCCCTCCATGCACCTCACATCTCTCTCTCCACATGCCCACCTTCCTCTGCCAGGCTTCCCCAGCTGCTGGGAAGCCAACCTGAGACAAAACTAGAATATTGAGTTTCAGCCTTTGCCAGGGCTGATAGGGGTTTAGGGACGAGTCCAGTGGGGCAAACATGACCAGAGGCTTACAGTTTTCCTTACCTGTACACACAGCTGGGGAATTACCTCATCCCTGAGCGGGTAGCGTGGGGTGGCTTACATGAGATCGTGTGCACAAGGCCCAGGACACAAACAAGTACGTGTATCTGCATGTGACAGTGACAGTTTGCAAGGATGCACACCAAGCTGAACATGGGAGTTAGTTCTATAGAGGGGCTTAACATTGTGAGATAAAGGGATTTGTTAGCTAAACCTATAATGTTTGTTGTTTTCAGAAAGATATCATCAAGCAGGACTTGTGTAATTATTTTTTAAATGTAATGTGCTGACACATAGTAGGTGAACCAAAGAAAGTAGTGCTCAGAATTGACTTACTTTTATGCCAAAGTATTTTCCACAGGGGGCATGTCCTAAAGACCAGACTTGTATGACTAAGGCAAGGCCAGCCCTCCTTTCAGGAGGCAATCAGGTCAGAATTGCTCTCCAGGGACCCTGGTCAGAGGCCATCCTACCAGACCTTTACTTCTACTAAATGCCAGGGATGCAGAAGGCAATGGAAGCAGTGCCTTCCTTCTAGCAGCTCTTGATCCAGTGTGGGCATCAGCTATGTACTCCTCTAATGCAAAGCCTGGGCAGCCCATAGGAAGTTTCATAGAGGAACAATAAACAGCACACTCCAGAAGAACCCCTTCCACCACATCCAAGTATAAATGAGTCTCTCTGCTCCTCCACTTGCCCAAGAAGTTCAAACCTTCTTTGGAGATGGGTTGGGCTAATGCTGGAGTGCTTGGGCAAGGCCAGAGCAGCTTGGCAGGGAAACAGCATCAAGGAAGCAGATGCTCCCAGTGGATTATAGTCAGAGGGCCTAGTAGGAGGTGCCAACCCCTGTAATAGGGCCCATAACAGAACTCTGCAGAAGGACCCACACTGCCTGTCTCCCAGGCTGCCATGGAGAATAGTATAGGGAAGCTTTGGCTCCATTTCCACTCTGGAGGGCTCCATAGATGGAGTGGGCAGGCAAGGCTGGTAGCCAAGTAGTCACACCGCAAGGCAAAATATGGAGGCCAGCCAGGGCCTAGGCAAGTTCTCCACCTTAGCTTACCTAGCCCGAGAAGCATTTCTCCAGGGGGCTGCCACACTGTTTGTTTGCAACTTAGCTAAATTGCTCCCAAGAGTAAACCTTTGTTTCACAACATATTTTCAGCCAGACTTCTTTTGCAAACATGTCCGTGTCTGCTCACACACACATGCAGACCCATGTCCCAAAGGCTTGCCCCAGTCTACAGAACCCTTCTCTTCCTCTGAGCCTTTTGGCATGGCCAGCTGGAACAGAAGAAAGGGGTGGCTTTCAAAGAGCCACTCAAGGGGAAACCTCATGGCATCCTTAACTCCAGGCCTCTACACTCTGCTTGGCTGGTCTTCCATGCCTTCAAATGCAGTGGGAACTTTGGCCTTGTCGCTGTTCCCCTTAATAAGTCCCTATACATTGGGGCCTGGTCTGCCTGAGGCTGTGGGGAGGGAACGGGTGGCCTGCAAAGAAGTCCTCCAGCCTTACTCTTAGCCTTCAGATGATTCTTGTGCTCTAGGGCCCATTTGGAGGAGGCACAGAGGCTTCAGCTTCTCCCCAGGCCTCTTGGATTTCCCAACTAGAAGCATTTGTCTCTAGAGCAGCAGCCCTCTCCCCATTTCACCGAGGGACTTCCTCTGGCACCCCATTACCCTCTCTACTTTGAGACCAAAGAGGGAAGCCCCCAACTGTTTCTTCATTAAGTGTTCTTGTCTCCGCTTTCAGCAGGGCCCAGGCCCCAGTGACCATATGTATGGTATCCCTCAGGGCTGACAGGAGGTTCCTGAGACTCAAGAGTAGAAGAATACCCTCATTTTATGGGGACCACTGAGCACCAGAGATGGGTGGGGCAGGGGCAAAGTAGGCTCATGACTCAAGTCTCTCTCTTTTATTCCCTCCTTCTTTCCATCCCTCTCCCACTATCTCTCATCCTCCTCCTCTCTCTCTCTCTCTCTCTCTGTCTGCCCCCCACCCCCTTTTCTCTCACACACACATATAGTCATGTTTATTTTATGTCTAATGACTAACATACTCTCTTACTTTTGTAGATGGAGAAGCCTTGACAGATTTGGAAGACCGGGGAAAGTCCAGTTAGCCACCAAAGCTGATGAGTAGCTTCTGGGTCCCTGCCCCCCAAAACATATGTATTTATCCCTTGGTCCCAGGAAAAGGGGCAAAAGCTCTTCCCAAGGCCTCCTGGAGCTGAGCACAACTGCCTTTATATTCATCCAGGCCAAGTCCTACTGCCCTACCAGCAATCCACTTTGAGGTGAGCTTCATGGGGTCATGGACATGGGGGAGAGAGGTTCAAGATTCCTCCATGTGGCCTTGCATCCAGCCTCTAGAGTTGAGTTGGGGCCTTGTCCCCATCAAGTCTATATGAGACAGGCAGAGCCCTAGCCTGGGACACAGGAGAACCCGTTCTAGCCCTAACCCTGTCTCAGTATTGTTGGATGACCCAGGACCATGTTCTCCTTCTTCAGGACTCAATTTCCTCCTGGGAAAATAGAAAAGTTTCTGGTCCCTTCCAGGAGATTTCCTCTGATTGAGTGCCTACAATTCCTGACCCATACAAGCTGCTGCAGAACTTCTTCCCCACAAGCACTCACTGGCATAAACCCAACAGGAAGGACTTTGCCAATCCCTGTCCCTAAGCAGGCTCTCTACCTGGGCAGGGAGCCTTGGGGAGGAAGGGGAGGAAGGAACCAGGACTTATTGGGTGTGGCATCATCCCAGTCCCTGCAACAGTGACTTTGTTCAGAGTTGCTGTTCTCACATGAATCCTGGATGTAAGAAGTTCAGATACCAGAGTTTGCTGCTATCAGTGAACTTTTATTGAGCATGTTCTCTATGCAGAGTCCCATACACAATGTGGGAGAAAACTGGGAAGACACAGACAGCCAAGTCACTGCCACAGAGGATGGAACAGAAGGGACTCTTAGGGCAAAGAGGCAAGGTTTAGCTCTGAGATGGTCACCATGGAGCCATGATGGACAAGCAGGAAGCACCTGCCACTGTGGGGGCCACATGCCACCCTCCTCACCTTCCAAAGTGGCTGCGCCTCAGCCCATTCAGACCTCTACCTCCCAGCAGCCAGGGCCTCCCCAGGCCAGGGGTGTAACCAGAGTGGAAAATGGCCCTGATGCTGCTAAGAGCTGCTGGGAGATGGAAGGAGGATGGGCAAGGGTGGCCCAGGGAGAAAAGGGAAGGAGAGGAAGGAGAAGAAGTCTCAGGAAGCAGGAAGCATCACTGGCGCATCCACAGCCACAGGTTGACGACACAGGCTGACACCAGCATGGTGAAGAACAGAGTTTCCCTGTGGCGCCAGGTGGCACCTTGTTCCTCCAGGGCTTGCAGCCGGCAGGTGATCACTTGCAGCTGCAGAGACCAAGAGGCTAATGAATGACAAGCCAATGGCTTCTGGAGAAGCCCTTGGCTCACTACTAGGGAAAGTATGAACTTAGTACAGAAAGGGGATTTGATGTCCTTTGGTAGGCCAAAGTGCCTCTGGGTGAGAAGCAGACAGAACAACTGAAACCAGGGGGCTGGGTTGGGCCCATGGGATAGATGTCCAGGCTGTTTGTGTTCATAGGACCAGCCACTTTACCCACTCATTGGGTGTTCACCCAGTTGTCTAGAAGAAGCCAGCCTATCCCAACTGTGCTGGGGGAGGTGAGGAAGGGCATTTCATTCTTGGGGCAGGCTGGCATGAGGGCATCAGCAGCACCAGACTGAGGACTCCAAGATGGGTGACACTCAGGGGCCGGAGACAGCCACCAAGGTAGATGCCCCTCCGGGTCCAGGGCTGCTGTGTTCTCTTCTTGACAAGACAACTCTTTTCCCAGACCTCTTATCACCATTCTCTGTGCACAGACTTATAGCCTTTTCTGTTGCCTCTTGGTCCTCCTTTTGGCTTCCACTGTTCCCTTCCACATATCAGGAAGAGAGGCAGGGCTGAAGCTGCCATGAAGGTGGGTCACTAGAGGCCTGAGGCCTGGGAGGAAAGGAAGGGGAGCATGACCTCAACTCTGCTGCTAGAGGCTAAGATGACTTCAAAGAGGGTGGTGTCATTGTTGTCGAGCCCCACCTGCCCCAAGATACCATGAGCATAGGAGATGCTCACCTGCCTTCTCATAACTTCCATCTCTAGTTCATTTAGCTCTTCCAGGCCAATCTCTGCCACCATATCTGCCTCTGGGTTGCTGGGAAACAAGAAAAGATAGAGGGTCAGAGCTACTGGTGGTCCCAGGCCAGGCCTGGCAGGGAGCACAGGAAGGCCATGAGGGCAAGCAGATAAAGGCAGGGTCTCTTGTAGACAATGACTCAGTCATCCTTGAGTCCTTCCCTTCCCTGGTAAGAAGGTCCTGGGGCCTCAGGGCTGGGAACCAGCCCAGCCAATCCTCAGGTTGCTTGGAGTCCCTGAATGGGCAAGAGGCCAGGAGGCTCAGGGGCTATGGTAAGGAGGCAACAGAGCTTCAACATTCTAAGCATGGCCAGCTGCTCACAATACCCTCCTCGTCAGTCTGCTTGCCAGTCCATCTGGCCCACTGTGGTTCCTGCCCAAAGAGCACCAGCTTTCTTTCTGCAGGGTCCCTGGGATCTTTCTTACCGCTCATAATGGAATCTCCTGCTTTGGAAGCCACCAGGATACTCCCGGGGGTTGGCATCACCATGGTCTGGTTCTTTCAACACTCTGGGTATTGACACCTGGGGCCCCTAAAGAAAAGGAATGGTCAGCAAAGGTAGCCTACTCAGTCCCAGCTGAGCAGCTGCTCCACACTGCCCAGGACCAATAGTGTACCCATCAGGAGTCACATGCTACCTGTTCCTCTGAAATCACAGGCTGGCAGCTTCAGACCACTAGAGGAGCCTGGGAATCCCACAAGTTGGCTATTTGTCACCACTCCAACCTACCATGTTCCTCAGTAGTTTCTGACCATCCAGGCTGTGGGGAAGGAAGAATAGTGACAGGGATCCCCATCCTCTGCCAGCACTGTCACATACAGACATCAGATGAGTCCAAGATGAGAATGGAAAACCTCAATTTTAGAGCCAAGGGGGGAAATTGAGGCCTGTCAAGTGACTGCACTTCTTCCTAAGGACACACAGTAAGTGTCTGAGCTCAAGATAGAACCCTAGCCACTGGGAAACAATAGCCTCTTTCTGTGTGTGCATGACCATTACAGGGGCTTTCATTTTTATCCATCTGCTAACCACTCCCTGGAGTGGATGTCTCTGGCCAAGAGTTCTTCATTTAGTAGCAATGTGCCTCAGTGGTCCTGTTAGGAAATGGCAAGTTAGGAGGCATGGAATATGAAGCACTCAGCTCCTGGCCGAATTAACTAATTAATGCCTGAAGCCTAGCTGCTGGGATTCTCACAGAGGCTGCAAAGCCTCCTGCTTGCTCATTACAAAAGATGAGCTAGCAAGAAAAAAAAATGCTAGCAGTCGTGTGAGAGGCAACAGGTGGTGAGAGAGCTCAGCAAAGCTGCAGCATTCAGAAGGTGTTGAGAGCAAACCAAGGGAAGTGGGCCTATGGCTCAGAAGCAAATGGGGAGCAGTAGATCACTGAATTCCCCTTCTGCCAGTGGCCAGAGAGGACCCAGATGTGGAGGCTGCAGGGACACTGGGGTGGTCTCAAGGACCCATTGGGGGATGGAAGGGACAGGGGCCTTGGCTGAAGGTCTGTAAATGGAACAGCCATCCAGCCCTCTCACCCAACCTGGCTGTCAGCCAGGCAGTTCCCCCCAAGCCCAAACTTGAGCTAAATGAATGGGGGAGAGGGGTGGTTGTGCCACAAAACAGAGCCCTCTCCATTCTGGCATTTACAAGTGCCCTTTGTACAGTCCATGTTGCTAAAGTAGAACTTAATGTCTCTCTGTTCTCACCAACACAGAGTTCTGGGTTGGCTGTATTTGCCTCACTCTTTTTTTTTATGGTTCTATTTGCCTCACTCTTAATGAGAAATAGACAACCAAGTCTTGCCTATCACCTGAGAAATATCTGCAGCCCTCCTATGTTCTTAAGAACAACAGTAAACTGCAAGTGGCCTCCATACTCCATTTTTTATAATAATGCAAAATTTGTCGTTCTCAGAAGTGCACACAGATATTGGCATGTCTTTTTCTGTGTGAACCGTACTTGACAGTAATACTACTATTTGATTTTCCTCTTCATCTTCTTCTTGAGATACCTCAAAAATAACATAAAAGTGACAGTATTGTCAAGAAAATCCCAAGACTATAAAAAGGAATTTGATTGAGAGTTTCTCCTAGAATAATTTCCACACCATCCCCTTGATTTTCCTACAGATTGGGGTCAGAAGGACAAAAAGTTTTTTTGAGAGATTTGTAGGTGCATAAGGATGAGAAACTGGTGGCTGGGATTTGTTTGTTTGAGATAACATAGTTTGTTTTTTTTTTTTTTTAATTTTTTTTTTCAACGTTTATTTATTTTTGGGACAGAGAGAGACAGAGCATGAACGGGGGAGGGGCAGAGAGAGAGGGAGACACAGAATTGGAAACAGGCTCCAGGCTCTGAGCCATCAGCCCAGAGCCCGACGCGGGGCTCGAACTCACGGACCGCGAGATCGTGACCTGGCTGAAGTCGGGCGCTTAACCGACTGCGCCACCCAGGCGCCCCAACATAGTTTGTTTTTAACACATAAATATACAGGAATTAATGTGACAACATCTGCAGGTCGATGATAGCCTATTGTGGGTTGCTCATCATAAGGCCTAACTGTTCAAAAACAGTTGTCTTGTTGCTTTTTTGTTTTTAATTATGGAAACTCCCCATTTAGAATTATATGCATTATAAAATATAACATTTTATATCAGTTTGATAGAGATTAAGGAAATCTGTGAATTTCAACAAGTCATAGCTTCCACTATTGCAAAAAGTGTTATTTTTATTTTCATGTAATTTTCAAGGCACACTACTTTTCACCCCCAAAACAGAAGAACAGTATTATTAACTTTATCTTTTCATGTTGTGGTTCTCTCAGAAGTGGGCACAGTTCCATTCATTTTTGTTTGTTTTGCTCAAAAGTAAATAATAAATAGAATTGATAAATCTTAATTCTAAATGACTAATTTCTAAATTCAATATGATTTTTTTAAAGTACTCCTGCGGTCCTAATAGGTAACTATAATTACTCCAGAGTTTATACCCCGCCTCAACTGCCCTCCCATGCCCACCCCATTCTGCCTCAGTCTCAGGGGCATGGGTGGCTTGCTGGAGCCTGACCTGATGGAACAACTTGATGTGGCTTCTACCTTTGGACAAAAGAAGCCAATTCAATATTTCTGGCTTATTTTCATTCCCAGGAGTTCTCTGGGAGCTCTTTTTCTCTTTATTCTTTGGCAGTGGAATCATTTGGGCATTTTATTTTAACTCATTCCCTAGAACAGGGAGGCCTCCCTCCTCTCCAATCTTGTTGCCTTACCCCCACTAACCTCTGCAACACTGTAACAACCATGGTAAGCTGGTTAACAGAATCCACTACAGAACTATCAGACTCAAGTGATTCCCTAGAATCATCAAGTCATCCTCCTCTCCAAAATCGCTGCCTTTTTCCAGTCCCCTTTACAATATGGCCACCATTTTTTTTCTAGAACATTCCCTCACCCAGAGTGAATGTAGCTTAAAGGATTAGCTACAGAACAATGGGACTCAGGTGACTTCCAAGAATATTGAGTCTCCCTCCCTCTCTAACCTGGTTGCCTTTTCCCAGTAATCTTTGCAACAGTATAAAAAACATTTTAGTAAAACTTTACCTCACCCACAGTGAAAGCAGCTTTAAAGGACTGGCTACAGAACTTGAGACTCACATGATTCCCTCCAACAGTCAAGTTCCCCTACTCTCCAGCTTGGTTGTCTTTTCCCAGTAACTTTTGCAACAGCATAGCAACCACATTTCTAAAACTTTCCCTTACCCACCAGTGAACATAACTTCAAGGACTGGTTACAGAATGAGATATTCCCTAGAACATTCAGGTCTCCCTCTTCTCCAAACAGACTGCTTTTTCCCAGTATCTTTTGTGACAATATAGCTGCCTTTTTTTTTCTAGAACATGCCTTAACTCACGTTAAATGTAGCTTAAAGGATTGGCCACAAAATACTCGTATCAAGTTGACTGGATTTCCTAAAAGCCAGGGAGCATAGGAACCTCACTTGCCTTACTTTGTCCCACTCGTGAGTTATGTTTTATATATATATATATATATATATATATATATATAGTATTATAAATATAAATAATATATAAATATATTTAATATAATAGATTCTATAAAATATATATTTATATAGAGAAATGTATAAAATACCTATAGAAATTTATTTATTTATTTATAGAGGAAAGTTTCATTTCACATACACTAGAGTTTTGCAGAGTAAAGTATACATGTAGTCCCCAAGTAATATGTGATTCAGGTGTTCTGCACTCCCAAGTTTGAACTCCCAGCCTACCAAAGGATGGCCCTGACCTCTCGCTGGACCTCCCTAACCTTCATTGCCCGAATGGCACACAGGAGTTTCCTCCCCTCTCCCCAAGTCAACATCTGGCTCTACTCAACCTACCAGTGTCAGGCTGCAGCCCCTACAGCCAGTACTCCCAACCCCAACCCAGTCACTGCATGCCAAGGCCTCCATACAGTACCATTTTCTTGGCCCGGGTGGCAGTCTTATTCCAAACTGGTTGGCCTGAACCAGAGTCAGCAGCCTTTGAATCCAATTTTTGTCGCCAATGAGAGGCACCCAAGGGCTGGGATCCATGCTCTTTCATTTCTAGGGAGAAGAACAGAGGTCCCAGGAACACCCATAGAGGCTGTACCAAGGCTTCCTGAGCATAAGACATACCAGAAAGAGGACAGGGTCCCCAAACTTCTTAGGAATCATTCAACACTCATTCACTGCTATCTACTGGCAGATCTCAGGCCCCAATCTGTTCATCTGTTCAAAAGTTTAGCAAGTATTTACTGAGGGCCAAGCTCTGGACTAGGTTACTGGAGGGAGAGCAATGACCAAGAGACAGGATTACAACAATCAACTGACTGTGTGTGCACAGGGGGAGTGAGGGGGCAAAACAGAAAATAATCTGTCAGTGTAGATTCAGATGAGGGATACATTCTCCCAAAATGATAAAAACAGAGCAACATGACAGAAGGTAGGGGCTACTTCTAGAAAAGTGAGAAACAACATTGAAGCAGAGACCTGAAAAAGAAAAAAAAAGATCCCAGCCATGGAAAATCTAGGGAGAGTATCCCAGGCACAGAGAACAGAAAGCACAAAGTCTATGAGGAAGAGCCAACCTTGGCGTGTTATAAGGACAAGAATAAATGCAGTTTGCAGTGGGTCACCATGCCACAGTATGAAATATGTTGAGGTGGCGACCTTGATCAGTTCTTATAGATCACAGAAAGGAGTATGGATTTCACTCTAAATGAGGAGAGGCATTGAAGGTTTAGGAGAGAGAATTGATCTGATTAATCTTATAAATTGAGCCCTCCGGATGCTTTGTCATAGACACAGTGGTAGCTTGGACCACACATATTGGTACCATCCTACTCTCTCATGGGCTGCAAAATGCTCACATCATCAATTCCTTTCCCCCAGCTTCCCTGTCAGTCAAACCACAAATACATGTATATGCACACCAAGGCACAGACACACACACAGCCACACATACATGCAAACACATACATGCATATATATGAATCTGCCCAGCTATACACACACCTTCCCCACCACGAAGGCACAGGTGCAGACACCCAAGGAAAGGGAAATTTCATGGGCTCCTCACCTGCTATCACTAGGTGCTCTTGGCTTTGCACACAGCTTCCAGGAACCAGCTCTTCAGCCATGGATGTTTCCATCTCCTCCTTGATTCTATAGGGGCCTCCTGCCATTGCAGCCAGTTTTTTACTTTTAAACTATGGCCAAGGATACACAGGAAGCAGGGCACAGCAGAGGCACTTGGAAAATCAACTCTTCAAGAGGTAGGAGCTCAAGTCAGATATATCTGGGCATGGGGGTGGAGTCAGACTCCCTCACTGGGCTCAGGCCTTGCACCCAGCACATTCTGTTCTTGTTGTATCTTGTTGGCTGGTCCACAGCCTTCTCCCCTGCTACTCTGTAAGCAACATGGGAGAAGAGATAAGTGTCAGAAGCTTTGCCTATGAGAACTACCCTGGCTCTCAGGTCACCTGATTTGGCCCCATTGAAAGGCCACCATCCATCATTTCTAAAGAGAGGCAGGTACTGGCACAGGAGCTCAGAGCCAGTCAGTAGCCAAAGCATGGTTATATCCCAAGCCTCGCATGACTTCTGCAAGCCCAGCTCTGGCTAGTAATCCAGGCCACAACACCCTTCAATAGGCATCCTCTGCAGGGCACATCCTGTCTCCCACAGTCTGGAGTTCCCAGGCAAGGGAGATGGTCTTTTGATGCCCTCAGTCAGCCTGAGCAGGAACCATGAGAACCAAGGGAGGGAAGACAGGAAAGAAGGGAGATGCTTGCAGCCAGTGGAGGCCTTACCATCCCCAGGCCCTGGAGTCCCTGGTCTAAGTCCAAATTCTCCCTCAGTTTTCCTACTGATTAGACCACTGTGAAGGTCAAGTTTACTTGTTTACTTGGGTAGTCTATAGTTCTCAGTTATTCCATCAACCACTAGTCTAGTTGTTGCTGTGAAGGTATTTTGTAGTTGTGGTTAACATCTACATTCTGTGAACTTTAAGTAAAGGATGTTACTAATCCTGGATAATGTGAATGGGCCTCAGCTAATCAGTTGAAAAGCCTGAAGAGTAAATACTGAGGTTTCCCAGAGGAGAAGAAATTTTGCTCAAGTCTGTAGCATCAGGAAACAAAAGCAAACATAAGCTACTGGGACTACATCAAAATAAAAAGCTTTGGCACAGTGAAGGAGACAATCAGCAAAACAGAAAGGCAAAAACAGAATGGGAAAAAATATTTGCAAATGATGTATCTGAGAAGGGGTGAATATCCAAAATATATAAAGAACTTATACAATTTAACACTTAAAAAATCCAATTAAAAAAGGGGCAGAGGACTTGAATAGACATTTTTCCAAAGAAGACATACAGATGGCTAACAGACACATAAAAATATGCTCAACATCACTGATAATCAGGGAAATGTAAGTCAAAACCAAGAGGAGATACCATCTCACACCTGTCAGAATGGCTAGAACTAAAAAGACAAGAAATAGCAAGTGTTGGTGAGGATGTGGAGAAAAAGAAACCCTCATGCACTGTTGCTGGGAATGTAAATTGGTAAATGTAAACAGAATTGAGTTTCCTCAACAAAGTTAAAAATAGAAATACCATATGATCCAATAATTCCATCCTGGGTACTTACCCAGAGAAAATGAAACCAAACAACAACAACAAAAAGAAAATGAAAATACTAATTTGAAAATATATGTGCACCCCTATGTTTATTGCAACATTATTTAAAATAACCAAATTATGGAAGCAACTTAAGTGTCTACCAATAGGAATATTGGATATTGAATAGAGAAGATGTGGCTTACAGGCTTCCAGTTATGGAATGAGTAAGTCATGGGAATAAAAGGCACGGCATGAAGAATATCGTCAGCAGTACTGTAATAGCATTGTGTGGTGACAGATGGTAGCTACATTTCTGCTGATAATAGCATAAAGTATAAACTTGTTGAATCACTATGTTGTACATCTGAAACTAATGTAACATTTTGTGTCAACTATACTCTAATTGAAAAAAAAGTTTTTTAAAAAGACTAAGCCATCTCTCCCTACCTAAGATTCTGCTGTGCGGGCCTGCCCTGAAAATTTTGGCCTTGCTAGTTCCACAATGGCAGGAGCCAATTCCTTAAAATTAATCTCTATATACATACACATATGCATATGCATATACATATACATACATACATATCCTATTGGTTCCTTTTCTCTGGAGAACCCTTACTGATACAACCACAAAAGGTGAACCTTGGCTCTTGCAAGTAGCCCTAGAGTCCCTGTCAAAGAGGAGGCTATTTGTAAAAAGAACTGAGCACAGCTGGGGCCATGTGGAAGGAAGAGGAGGAAGCAGGGGGGAGAAAGAGGAAGGGAGGAATAAAAGGGTAAGAGAGAAAAGGGAGGGGCCGGAACTTGCTTGGAAAGTGTGGCATGGTCTGGGCTGCCTGTCCCCCTCCCTGGCCCCATCTGTCCAGCCCTGGGACTAAGCTCTCTGGAGCAGAGCTGACATGGGTCCTTCCTGCATTCCTGAAGGCCCTGAAGAAGCCCTTCTCAGATGAGTGGAGCAGCTGCAATGAAATCTGAACTTTCTGGAAGGCCACCTTAGGAGCAGAGAAGTGTGCTCTGTGGGACTCAGGAGCCTGGGAAGCAGGAACCATGAGCTTCTGCCTGGCCAGTGTTGCCAGACTGAGAAAACACAAATGTAGAATTCCAATTGAATCTGAATTTCAAATAAATAAACAAATAATTTTTAGTGTAAGTACACTCTGTGCAACATTTGAGACAAACTTACAGTAAAAATTTATTCGTGGCTTATCTGGCATTCACATTTGACTGGGTATCCTTTATTTTATATCTGGCAAACCTATGCCCTGCCCATCCTCACCATGATCTCAAGATTTGACCTTGAGCAAGTCTTCCTTTTCTTTGGGCCTCAGTCTCCCCACTGGACAATAGAGTTAATCCCCTCCTTACAGAGTGGCTGGACTGTGAGAACACTAACAAAACCTTGCACTATTGGCCTCAGGTCAGATTAGTCTCTGAGTGCCAACTGGCCTTGACCAGTTGGGGCTTCTTGAGAACTAAGGCACTGGTTCCAGGTGTGTGCAGAGGCACTGCCTCCTGGTGGCAAAGGAACCCACCACCTAAAGTCATGCAAATAGTGTGGGCAGAATTCTTTCCCAATCCCTGTACTTCTATTGCCACCCAGAAACCTTGACATCTCACCATCTTAGTGAGATCCAAGAGCCTACCTCTCTTGGAATGGACACCACAGATGGCTAGGCAGTGGGGGTAATAATTTGTTGTGACTTTGGACTTGTCCCTTAGCATAACTTTCTAGCATGTTAACTTTTCCATCCAAGATCATCATTTCTTTCTGAAATTGCCTCAAACTCTGAGTCTAAACACTCTGAAAAGTCCCCACCGTCTAGTGTGCCAACCTTGGGAGTCTGAAGGCCTAGAGCATCCGTAGAGTACATTCCAAGCCTTATCGGGGCCAGGGAGATGGCTCATGGCTCGTGTAGCTGGTGGGTCACAGAGACCTAGAGTGTAGTGAAAGGGTCCCAGAGAAGAAGACCAGAGAGCCCAAAGCTCTATCCACCTTGGAAATTAGACAGATGTCTTTGGAAAGGGGAAGGACGGGTCTAGAGAATATCTGGCTAAGACGTGTATATATGTTTGCAGTGTTTTAAACAAATGAGATCATACATTTGAGGTATATGCAGTTCTGCAGTTTTTTTTGTAAGTACATGACACATAGTAGGAAAGCCCTTATAAAAGCTTAAAAGAAAAACATACAGAAATGTGTAACCATACATGTACACATTTACATGAAGGAAAGTCCAGGGGATTCTTGTCTATCACTCTTTCTCTCTCTTTTTTTAAGGGTTTCATGGAATTTTTCCTCATTTTTATTGAGAAATATGCAATTTGCTTTTTAAGTGCATAGTGTGCCTTGGAGCTCGCCCCTGTCAGAACAAATCTCCCTCACGTCTCTTAAACACAGCTTTTGCTGCACAGCTGAGCCCCTGCTTATTGACCTGCTCATGGACATTTTGGGTGTCTAGAGCTTCTCACTTCACCTTTATACACAATAAACAGTGATCATTCCTGGACATGCCACTTTGCAGACATGTGTAAATCTTTTTTGTAGAGCAGGTGCCTAGAAGTGGAATTGTGGGCTTCTAGGGTATGCGTGTTGACATGTTTACTAATATCAACCAATATTGTCAAGGCCCATCCTATGAGACTGCACCAAGTAGGACCTCAGTACAGAGAAGAAAGTTCCGGTTTCTTCATGGCCTTGTCAACACAAGATATTATGAAACTTTCTAAAATGCATCATTATGATGGGTAGAAAATGATATCTATCTCATTGTTGCTTTAATTTATATTGCTTTAATTATGAATAAACTGGAGCAATTTCTCATATGTTTATTGATCTTCTGTATTTCTTTCCTGTCTGCTGGAGGGCTTGGATCTTTATTAAAATAAGAGCTGCTTTATTAACAAAATGGATGGGGATGAAATCTCCCCCTCCCTTCAAGCTAAGCATCTCCAAAGAAAACATATCATAGTTTTCCCTAAAGGTGATCATGAGCACAGAGCCTCCACTGGGAGCCAAACAAATTCAGTTAATTGCATCCAAGTTTGTGCTGAAATATAGAGGGCATCCAGCCCCCCACCCCCAACACACACGCACACAGAGCAGGTGTCTAATTCAGGCCTGTCTGCCCTTGTCTTGTGTCTGTCTCTGTGCCTGCCTCACCACCAGCCCCCACCAGTGCATTCCAACCACCGGCCTCTTCCAACAGTTCAGCAAGGTGTGCCCATGACAATTTCCCAAAAAGCGGAGGGTCTGGAAGTCCTGTGTGCTGCCTGCTTCCACCTCCCTTGCAAGCAACAGTGAAGGGTAGCAGGAACCCAGGCCCAGGGTCAGTACACTTGGGAGTGATCTTAGCTCTGACACTGGGGCATCTTAGCAAGTTGTTTCCCATGCTCTGAGTCTTTGTCTCCCACTCTTCCATGGAATATTGGGCTAAAACCCAGTTTTAAACTATGTTTCATAGTTTCAGGGGGGTGTGTTGGGAGTACCTGGGCTTCAAGGCAGACTCTAGCCTCTCTTCACATGGAGCAGCTCTGCTTTTATCACTTTGTTATATTGGGGTTTTA